CCGGCAGAAAAGGACCTGGGGGTGTTGGTCCACAGCCAGCTGAACATGAGCCAGCAGTGTGCCCAGGTGGCCAAGAAGGTCAACAGCATCCTGGCTTGTATCAGGAATAGTGTGGCCAGCAGGACCAGGGCAGTGATCGTCCCCCTACTTGGCACTGGTGAGGCCGCACCTCGAATCCTGTGTTCGGTTTTGGGCTCCTCACCACAAGACAGACCTTGAGGTGCTGGAGCGAGTCCAGAGAAAGGCAATGGAAGGTGGTGAAGGGTCTGGAGCACAAGTCTGAGGTGAGCGGCTGAGGGAGATGGGGGTGTTTAGCTTGGAGAAGAGGAGGCTGAGGGGAGACCTGATCGCTCTCTACAACTGCCTGAAAGGAGGGTGTAGCCAGGTGGGGGTTGGTCTCTTCTCCCAAGTAACAAGCGATAGGACAACAGCAAATGGCCTCCAGTTGCGCCAAGGGAGGTTTAGAATTGGATATTAGGAAAAAATATCTTCACTGAAAGGATTGTCCAGCATTGGAACAGGCTGCCCAGGGAAGTGGGAGAGTCACCATCCCTGGAGGTATTTAAAAGAGGTGTAGATGTGGCACTTAGGGACATGGTTTACTGGTGGACTTGGCAGTGCTAGGTTAACCATTGGACTGGATGATCTTAAAGGTCTTTTCCAACCTAAGCGATTCTATGATTCTATGATTCTGTGAAATGTTATTCTGCAAAGGCCAGGCATTTCAAACAGGAGAGCAGAAATGAAAGCAGCACCTGATCTCAGACATCCCTGCAGAGCATTTTCATAGTCTCCAGAGCACGGTGAGGCTAAGCAGGACTGCTGGTACAGAATCAGATGGCAGTGTGGGCTTGTCCAGAAAAGCAAGCCCCTGCGTCAGCATGTTTGTAGTCCTCAGGTAACAATCTGAGAGGATCATGTACAGGCAGACAGCTTTCCCCTTTCTTTCCTAAGAAGACAATGGTCCTGCAGGCAGGACAAGAAAGCATCTCTTCTATGATTCCCAGAGCACAGGACTTCTCAGATAGCAGAGCACTCACTACCCCTAGCATGGGCTGGTGACCAGAGCTAGCCTCACATGCAGCACAAGGGGATGAGATTGTGATGGCACCCCTTGAAGAGAAGCACCCAGCTGACTGCCTTGCCTGTGGAAGTCACGATCTGGGCATGCTGACTGGTATCTGCTCAGGGTAGCCTTCTTCCAGGGATCTCCGAGTCTTGCACCAGTTGGGTAGTAAAAGAACTGTGCCTACCTGGGAGAAGGAGCATGCACCTCTTAGAGCATGACTGAGTAGGATAGTATGGGAAGGTTGGGGGAGGGCTTTGCTTGTGAGGTCCAAAGATTTGGGAAATTCTCAGTGCACCTGGTGATGTCAGTAATGTTATGGGGGCTTGTGTACAGCTCTAAAGTACCAGGCCTTACATTCTGGTGGTGCGTTCTGTCCTGATGCTTGAGAGAAGGGTCTGTGTAAAAGGGAAGATGCTTCTGGCACTACCTTCCTCCAGATCTGCTACACAAATAAGGAGCAGAATTTGAGCTTTTGTTATCTCGGAGCACCACTTCTATTTGTTCGCTGAGCATAGGCCACTGCTGGGGGGAATCTGCTTAACTGTCCTTTTTTGCCTTTTCTAGGGCACAGATGCCACCATGCTCATAAAAATCAACTCCCTCCATGGCAAAAGTAAAGTCTACATCCCACCTAAGAGTGTCCATGACACCAAGTTTGGCATCAACCATTTTGCTGGGGCTGTCTTTTATGAATCAAAAGGTGAGCCCATCTCTGCTGGATACAGAGGGTGAAGAGAAGGGCGTGACATGCCTTGGATGTGTGGCACTCCAGGGTAGTGTTGATCTGAAGTCAGATCAGGAGGTCAGGAGGATTACTCTAAACTAATCTGCAAGTTACTGTAAACGAAGTGGATTTTAGCTAGACAGAGTGGCACAGGAGCCAGCAGGCTGCAGAGGTGACAAGCTGATTTTGTTTCCATCCTATAGATTTCCTGGAGAAAAATCGGGACACACTGAGTGCTAATGTAATGCAAGCAGTTCATTCCTCCAAAAACAAATTCCTGAGAGAGATTTTCCAGGTGGAAACGACCCCACCTAGTCTGGGACGTGGGACCATCCGGCATTGTGGAGCTGACCAGGCCTATAAGGTTGGCTTACTGGCACTGAGTTGCAGAAACAACTCATTTCTCCTCCCTTCCATAAGGTTCTGGCTGTTCTTAACCTCCTCTTTCTTTTGCACTGTCTCTGTAAATCCCTATCTCTTCCATTTAACTAATTTCTGCAGAGGAGTCTGCAGGAAAAGTCAGGGTCTGGTGTTCATGCTGTAAACAAGTGTAAAGTCAGCCCTGTCTGCCAGGACTACATCCCTGGACATCTGTGTTGCCGTGCCTGCAGGCCGTCATGGGAGCATGAGTTGTGCTGTCTCCCCACATGTTGTCACCAACTGGCTGGGTTTGCTCTGTGTCTGCCTGGGCATCCATACTGCATCCACATCACCAGGATGGGTGTAAATTAGTAGGAGGAAACTCTAGTTCAAAAGGTTCATTGGAACAGAACAAAGCACCAAGCAGAGAGCGCTGTGCAAAGCCAGTACCTGTCCAGAAGCCAGTAGCTAAACTGCTGCCATACTGCACATGTAGCCAGTCTGCTGGGACCATAACACCAAGGGGTCTGACTGGGCAACTGGCAGCTGGGTCCTGACCTTTTCATTCTTGCAGAGGGCTGACAGGCTAGCAAAAAGGGGCAAATAGCCATGCTGTCACAGAAAGATACTCTGTCTCCTGCTCCCAGTGACACCTGTAGACACAGCCTCACTGCCCTGCATCTTGCTGCAACTTTAGCTCTTCCTCCTGGCCCAGAGGCTTTGTGACAAAGTTCATGATGGCTACTTATCACAGAATCATCTCTGCCTAGTGCTATAAGGAGCCTTGTCCTACGCCTAGTGAAAATGAGGTTGTAAAGCGCAGTGGACTGGAAATAGCATAGGGCAGAGTTCAAGTTCTCTGCCCCGCTGCAACTCTCACGTACCTTGACTTCTGAGCGTTTAACTATGCAGTGTCATCATTGTGTGAAGGTACTTTTGCTTTTAATGTTTACATCTTTGAGTTTTCCTGTCAGAGTACAGAACAGACAGTCAGCTTGCTATCTTACCTGTTATCCGTCTATTCTCCTGCCATTGTTTTCTGATCCTGTCCTTTCTTCTCCAATCTTTATCCCAATGTGGCTTTCTGCTGTCCAGAACATCTGGCCATGGACAGGTAAATATCCTGGGGAAGAAGCATGTCAGAAGTGGTACAAGCAGCAACAGAGAACTGGTTTAGCATCTCTTAAATGCTATGAACACCTTCAGATTACATATCAGGTCTATCTACATTGCTCTAACGCTCTAATGGTTTTTGTCTCTATAAATAGGGTTGTGTTATTGAAAAAAACCACCTTTCTTTACATTTAGAAAGTACACCAGCATGTCAAGAAAGGAGATACTAAATGTGGGCTACTGTCCATTTCCAAATGGACAGAAGTTAGCTGAAATACCCCTATTAATTTAAAATAGGTTGGGCCACCATTAGGAAGCCTAAGAAACAGGCTACAGAAAAGAATAGTCAATGAAGTGCCAGAAGTGCTTAAGGTCTCAGAGTTGCTTTCCTGACACACCAGGAGAGAAAAGTCACCACCATCTCAACAACAAATTCAGCTTTAACAATGGTATGTGTGTGAAATCATGACGGTATGGGCTTCAGACTTGTGCGGCCATCCCACTGATTTACTGGTACAGCAGAATGGCGTCTAAGATCTGGGAGTGCAATGCTTTTAACTCTTGTACAGCTTAAACATGTATATGCTGTTGTCATATCTATTTCAGACGCTTGCTAGCCCTAAGATGCCTCAGACCTGCTATGAGACATCGAGGAGCTGTTTTCCAAAGGCATGAGTGTTTGGCCGCTGGAGGGCAGCATTGCCCTGTAGCTAAAGCAGACGGTGGCAACCTGCCTGTTAGAAAGGGCACTTTAAACGTAAGACCAGCAGCATGAGGTACCATAAAGATCATGGAAATGAAGGGAGCCACTGGACTTTAAATTATTTACTTAGGGGGGAAAAAAAAAAATCCATAACTCACCACAACACCCAAAACAAACAAACTAGCTGTACTGTGCTGCAATGATTAGCTCCGTGCTTGTATGTAAAAGGTCAGTGGAGTCCTTTTACTTGGAATCTGCACTGTTGTCACCATAATTTAATGTGCCATTAAAATGTACTAGCAGGTAGAAACTTTGGCCTATTGTGATGATCTGCATGAAAAAGCCATAGGTGGAACTGTGCTTTCAGAGAAGCTGGGGAAGTCAGGAGCTAACTGCAGCCAAGTGCAATCCCTTGGGGGTTACACTATTGCAACTGGGAGCAAAATTCAACCCAGGAGCGGTGAGACATAAAGCACTTTATATGCAGCCATAAATGGAGTAGCTCTTACCTCATCCTCCAGTAAAAGTTTGCCTTTTCACCGCTTACTGTAGTATTAATGAGCAAGGGGATCAGTCATCCTAATCACTAAGGAATGAGCTGTTCTGGATCCTTAGCATTCCTACTTAGCTGAGATGGCAGCAAAATGTCTGGCCCAGAGGTTATCGCTTTGGGAGTGGCTGTTTCTCACCAAGCTTTCAGGCACACACCCACGAATGACAGCTTGGCACTCAGGCCCTACCCTAAACGCAGCCTTGGTTGGAAGAGACAGGCCTATGTGGGCTTGTGTGGGTGGAATTGCTTCCACCACAGCCACCCCCACTGCTAGAACTTGGTGCCCAAGTAGGTGAAAGAGCTCAGTTGGGTTTCTTCACAAGAATAAACCCAAATTAATAAGATGCAGATGGCCGATTTAGCTCCCACGTAGATAATTTTTTTTTTTTTTCTGGCAGTTATGTGATACTGTTACATTGTACAAAAATACAAAGATTTATTAATTGGCCCTCTGACAGTGAATGATGTAGCAGTCAGCTTGCGCTTACTCTTCCAGGGCTTGGATACCGCCAAACGGCTCTCTACTCTGGGAGGACAGTTCAAGCAATCCTTGGAAAAACTAATGAAAATCCTTGAGCAGTGCCAGCCATACTTCATCCGCTGCATCAAGCCAAATGACTACAAGAAACCACTGGTAATGTTTTAACAATATGAGGTCTTGCCTTTGGTAAACTTTTTAATGAGAAAAAGCTGTCAGTTGCTGTGTAACATTTTATATCTGTACTTCAGCCAAGAAGAGCTAGAGTACAGGCTATTACTGCAATAAAAAGAGTGGCAGGATATAGCATTGTTAATTTACAAAAACATCTCTAAAAAGCATCATAGGGTAATAGATGGCAAAAAAGCACATAGGTGTATTCCTGAGGGGAGTTGTAAAAGCCTTCCCTGTAAAGATCAAGACAAAACTCAAGAGTTTCTAGCCCCTCAACAAGGAGACAAATGAAAAACATTAGGATCCAACAATGATCATACTATGAAATAGCCTGAGAGAGAGTAGGAGAGCTGCTGGTGTTTGAGAGGGATGATGTGGCTACAGGAGAAAAGGAGCAAGTTTATCATTAAGACACTTGGCGGGAACTCGGGAGACCACAACCTGATTCAACACTAAAACCTTGTATTATGGTATTGGTCAAGTGAGTTAATTTTTAAAGTACTGTATGTGGCTTAGTGAGCCTATTTTTAATCTGCATTACAAAAAACTAGCAGCATGCATGCTGTGCTTTGCATGACTATGCCCAAAGGGCCTAAGTTGCTGCTGCAGTTATTCACACCTGCAAAATGACATGAACAATTTACTGTTCATCTGAAATTGCAGTTCTAGAATTGAAAATGGTTGCTAAAGCCAGATTGAAGTTAATGGACTGTTTCCACTGCTGACAAACACAAATTTGAAGCCCCTTTGGAGCCACTTGTTTATGCCTGTGATTAATTCATTTAGTGCACTAAAGAAATAAGAAGTGCAATTAAAAAAAGCATAGTAGGCCATTTTGCAGGCACTCTGAGGTTGGAGGTTAATAGATAAGTTCTGAGGAACGCTGCTTGTGTAGCTTCTCTCAGTGCTAAATCTCCTCCTTGTCTGCTTTCCCTTTCAGTTGTTCGACCGGGAACTGTGTATCAAACAGCTGCGATATTCAGGGATGATGGAGACCATTCAGATCAGGAAAGCTGGCTACCCAATTCGCTACAGCTTTGAGGAGTTCTTTGAGAGATACAGAGTTCTCCTGCCATGGTCTCTTCGAGAACAGGTATGTAAGCAAAAACTTGGTTTAAGGCTAATCTAACTTTTCCTTAGGGGGCTTTAGTCTTTCCCACAGTAGAAAGTTCTTGGATTATTGCTAGCATAGTTGAGAGAGCTGTCATCACAGGAACTGTCATCACAGTAACGATAGCTAAATACTTACATAGTCTCTTGGACCTTGGCTGAAACGGTAGAGGTGCTTTTACGTCCAGCTATCCTTGACTTGCCCCACACAGACATCTCAGGCAGGGTGGCATCCCCATTGCCCTCAGACATTTCTTTTCTGTAATCACGCACTTTGGAGGTTTCTAGCATCCTCCTCTCACTTGAACTCTGGAATGTTTGGCCATGCAGTGATGTTCATCCTTTTCTTGACCATTTGATCTGAACCACTTTCATTCATTATACTGTCAGCCCAGAGGTCTGTAAGACCTCATCTGTTTCTGTGCTTCGCCCTTTGAAATGCAGGGCAATAGATCCTTACATAGTACAGCTGCTGTGTTTCACAACCGAGCCCTAACATGATGATGCTTTTGCACATCAGCTGAAGAATGATGCTCGACAGAGCTGTATCAGCATCTCTGAAGCAGTGCTGGGCAAGGATGAAAGCTGGCAAGCTGGAAAGACCAAGATTTTCCTTAAAGTAAGTAAAAAGGACAGTTTATTGTCTCTTCTCCTGAAAAACTGGGTGCTTCACAGTATAGCTTGACCTGTTTGTGCAAGACTGGTGACCCAGAAGGACTGGGTTCTTTTATAAACTCTCTCTTGAATCTGAGGCTGGATCTTTGTTCCTGAAGGTCAAGTAATTTAATGGACACAGTTTGGTGTAGGGGAGGCTGATCCTGTTCCTGTGCTCCAGTGTTGCAGCTGAAACAGCACAGTGCAATGTATTGGTTTCTGCTCAAGCCTCGAGCGTAAAAAAGAACTGGACACCAGCACACTGTTGAGGGGACCTCCTTGCCTGTAGCATACACTCAGGTAAAAACAGTCTTACTGCAGGCAGATTTTCTGCTTGTTTATGGCTATAGCCAGACATGGTGTGGGCAAGTGGTGTGCACTCTTCCTACCGCAGTTCCATAAATGCATTTTAGAATCATAGAATCATAGAATCATTATGGTTGGAAGAGACCTCAAAGATCATCAAGTCCAACCGTACACCTGATGCCACCCTGTCCACTAAACCATGTCTTGAAGTGCCACATCTAAACGTTTTTTGAACATCTCCAGGGACGATGACTCCCCCACCTCCCTGGGGAGCCTGTTCCAATGCCTAACGACTCTAACAGTGAAGAAGTTCTTTCTAATGTCCAGCCTGAACCTCCCCTGGCGCAACTTGAGACCATTTCCTCTCGTCCTATCGCTAATTACCGGGGAGAAGAGCCCAATCCCCACCTCACTACAACCTCCTTTCAGGTAGTTGTAGAGGGCGATCAGGTCTCCCCTCAGCCTCCTCTTCTCCAGACTAAACACCCCCAGCTCCCTCAGCCGCTCCTTGTAAGGCTTTTTCTCCAGGCCCTTCACCAGCTTTGTTGCCCTTCTCTGAACAAGTCACAGCTTGCACTACATCGTGCTGATTTGGGGCCTTTTTCAGACCACGTGTCCAGTTTTCAGAAGTTGTGGGGGTGTCTGCTCAGCTGGCATATCCACTCTTTCTTTTAACAGGATCATCATGATACAGTATTGGAGCTGCAACGCCAAAATATACTCACAAATAAGGTTCTTCTTATCCAGAAGGTGATGAGAGGATTGAAGGACAGGTCAGTGATCTTACAGAAGGGAATTTGCCTTGGTTTGAAGCAGTAGTCTTTGTGGTGCAGTTTAGCACACTCTGTGAAGCATTTCTGAGTATGAAATGTATCAATCCATACCTTTCACTAGCCTTGAATTCAGTGCTCATCATGTAACAGTGCACTATGCATCTATGCGGATTTTGCACAAAGATTTGTTCTGGCTCAGTTTCTTTATTTTCATGATGCTCTTCAAAATGCAGGGCTGTGGCACATGCAGCTTGTATGAAGAGGAAGGGCTAGAAGGAGGATTTTCTCTTAATATTTCTAGTAACAGTAGGCATCTGGAAAGCAGGAAATCCCCATGGAACCTGTGTCCCTCTCAGAGCTACAAGAACTCTCTTATTTAGGATGCCTCTTTGATACAAGACATAGAAAAGAATCAGATAGAAACTAACTAGTCCTTCTCTTTGCCAAAGATGCACAATTCTTGCATTTTGTCTGGTTTAGTCTGAAATATCTTCAGAAGTGAAATTTAGTCACTGTCAAGTAAATGTTTGTCCTCATTAAATGCTTTACATCATGATTTGTACTTACTAATCTTGTGTCCCCCAACCAGAACCATGATACAGGACTGAATCCTGGTTTGGTTTAGAAATATTCCTGACAGTAGAGAAGCAAGAACTAAAAAACATGACACAAATGCCCCAAAACTTCCCCCTTTTTTTCAAACTCTGCCTGTTATCTGACAGAGTATCACCTCTCCCAAAAAGCTTCACCTCGCTTTTATTTTTAAACCATCAGAGCTATGTGCCACTTCTGACAGCCATAGTGTGACAGCTTTTACCATGGGAAGTTAATTTTGCTCAGATGGGCTCCTAGTCCTGGCAGTTAGGGCACTGGGGAGCAAGTGGTCATCAGATGGGAGACTTAACTCATCCAGACTTGATGCAAGGGCTTTTTCAGTTCTTGCAGAGCTCTCCTATGACAGCAATGAATTTGTTCTGCAGCTGCTGAGTATTTTTGAAGCATTAAGGGCGAAGTCAGCTCAGATGTATCAAGGTGGATTAGTAATACTTCTATCTCATCCTTTCTACCACTAAATGGATAGCAAAGCAAATAGGAAAACTTTGTGAACTCAACTGATTCATGGTGCTGCTTCACTGGCAGAATGAGCTGAGCTTAGGTGAAATCTCCTAAGGCCTTTATTTACACAAAAATTCAGGCAAAACAGCCTGTTCTGGCCTTTTCATCAGCATGGAGAACATGTCAGCAGACAAAATGTTTAAGTGAGGATAATTTTGAAGCATGTGGTACAAAAGTATCTGACCAGACTAATCTTTCTGCTGCCACATAATATTTTTCTTAGGCTACTCAGAAGCAGGAAGAACAGCCCTCACTGAGCTTCAAACTGG